TGTTTTGTGTATCTGTTGTTGTTTTGTGTATCTGTGGTTGTTTTGTGTATCTGTCGCCTGCAGCCTGTGTTAGTGAATCATTTGCATCACGTTCAGTAACTTACTGAGCCTCTGTTCTCCCCTGACCAGACTTTTAGCAGCTGGAGTTGGGATTTGAACCAGTAACCTTCCTCTCTGTTCTACGTCCTACAGACCAACAAAACACACAAACACAGTTTCACTGAAAGTGTGTGTGCAAATATATTTTCATTTCTTGACATACAAACCACAACAATACAAAAGTGAATCATTAAACATTAAAATGAGCAGTTTAAAAAAAACACCAGAGACGACAATTCAAACACTAATAACACAATCTGCTGTGTGTGTCTGTGTGTGTGTGTGTGTGTGTGAGTGTGTGTGTGTGGAAGGTACAGTGCACGTTATACTGAGGAGGAATCAGCTCGTTAACTACAACAGGAAGTTAATCAAACACAAACTCTTACAGGCTGAAACAGATTATGCAAATCACTATTTACACAATGTGACTGGATGCAGCTTCCAGCAGCTCATGAGTGGAATCATGGGTAATGTAGTATTTAGAGCGTTCACCAAAGTAGCGCGATACAAATAAAATAGAATTGAACATGAAATGTGAAATAAAGAAACTGCCTGTGATGGTCACTCTGGAGATTCAGTCACATGAGAATCAAACGTTTTTTAGACTCAATGTTTTAGAATTTGATCATTTTAAACCAAAGATCGTGAAATAAATCTAATCAAGCAAACTGGGATAAGTTTCCTCCAGAATCACTGACTCAGCAGAGCGCCACCCTCAGGTCAGGAGGTCAAATGAAATGAATCAACAGGACATAAACTCTTCATCAGTGTTTCAGTAAAGCTGCTGAGGTTCTGCACGTGTTCCTCACGTGTTCCTCACATGTTCCTCACATGTTGTGCAGGTTCTGTATGTGAGTCAGTGTCTCTGGACATTTTCTGGATCTTCTCCTGCAGCCTCCTGGTAAAATATCTGGAACATGTCAGAGTGAGTCCATGAGAGGAAACATCAGGAAAATGTGTGGAAACTTCTGGAATGAACGTTCCGCACATGTTCCTGTTGTTAGAAACGAGTCGGACCCGGACGATCTCCTGCTTCACATGAGAAACTGTCCAGACACCTTCTCTGGATATTTTCTAGAGTCGATGTCTGAAAACTTCTTCAGTAACTTTCTGTCAGCGAGACAAGACGATGACGAGACTCGTCTACAGTGAAGCAGCGTGGTCAGAAATCACAGCTGGGTTCAGTGAAAAAAATGGAATTTCTCTGCTGCATGTCTCATAAAAACATTGTTTATCGTGTAAACCTTCATTAATTAAGTCAGACGATTTTTCTGTTGTCACGTCTGTAGATGACTCAATCATTCTCTCAATCACTGCTGTTTAATATTGATGTGTATATAAATGTATGTGTGTAGTGTAAGTTGTAGATACAATGATCAGAATGAAAATCCAACCTGAGCTCCTCTGTGAAAACACATCTATAACAATCAGAGCTGCGGATGAATCGATGACTGACGGGAAAATAATTGTCACTTTGATTATCGATCGTTTGAGTGAACTCGGTTCAAATCTTTGCTTCGATGAAAATATCTGAAAATGTGACTTCGTGTTGTAAAACATTGTGAAATGAAATGTGCAGGTGAACTGCACCTGAACTGAGACCTTTGGTTTCTGGAAAAGTGAAATTCTAACATTTTACTAAACAAACAATTCATCAACGAATCCAGAAAATAAAGAACTGATGATGAACACGACCATTCGTTGACGCTAACGTTGTTCCGACAACAATAACATTAACAATCAAACTCAAACCGTTTCTTCTTCTACTTCACAACTGTGCACGTCTCTTCTTCAGACATTTTAAAAAACAACAAACGTCCTGATGTGTCGTCGTCGTCAGGAACATGTGACGTGTGACCTGGTTTAGCCTGATTTGTATTGCGAGGCTAATTAGAGCTAGTCTGATTTGTAATATAAGCCTGGTTTCAGTTTCTGGGTCAAATAAACCGGGCCGGACTGAAACTGACTGTCGGATAAATTGACTCTGAATATACAGTCTGACCCGGCCCAGTTCAGCTCGGCCTAGTTTAGTGCAATCTACAGTTTTTAAGTCCAGTACGTTTTATCCTGGTTGAGTAAAGTTTGTCAAATCTGGTCCTGAAGTAAAACCCAGACCAGTTTAGTCTCCTGTAGTCCGACCCAGTCTGTCTCCGGGTCCAGTCCCAGGTTTGTCCTGGTCGGGTTCGGTCTGGTGCGACGGCGTCTATGCGGCCACGCAGTGGTTGGGTCGGCGGGACATGACGTATCCTCTCCTGCAGACGCAGCGAAACGAGCCGTCGGTGTTGACACAGCGAGCGTTCACACACGGGAACTCGACGCTGACGCCGTCCTCACACTCGTTTACATCTGCAAACACAAACATGCAATAATATTATTCTATTAATATGTTATATTAATCATTATGATTATTATTATTCAAAATGTGTCACTGCTGTAATATTTAGACAAACGTGTATTTATTCAAATGTGAACACGTTTTTCTTTCATTTGTTCCTCATGTTTCCTCCTCCTCCCCTTCCTTTACGTTGAAGTCAGTACTTCATCGCTCCGTGTCTCCTTCAACTTAACTCGGATATAAACAACGAGCTTTATTTCAAAGTGATTTCAAAAAGTTTTAACTGCTGAATGTAAAAGTGACAGAAATCGTTTGTTCAGGACCAACGTCTTCCTCTGAGCAGCCGTCTCTTCGTACCTATGCAGGTCATGGAGGTCATGTCCAGTTCGTATCCTTGGTAACAGTCACAGGTGTAACCCTCCGCCACGCGAATACACCTGCCGTTCTCACAGCCATGCAATATCCCACAATCCTCTGCTGCGCTCAGGCCGGCATACGACTCGTATCGCCCTGGAGACAAGATGGAGGAGAGATGTCAGAGGGAGCGATGACTCTTCTCCTCCTCAAACTCGTTTTTCAAATCTGGCTTCTCACTTTCATACACCCTCCTCGGTGCTCCTCCTCCTCCTCCTCCTCCTCTTCTTCCTCCTCTCCGCTCAGTGAATGGTGGGAACGGCGGCCCTGACCTCCACGTCTCCTCCTCCTCCTCCTGGTCATCGTAAGGAGCCCCGGGCAGCGGAGCCAGGCTGAGAGGAGGGCCGTCCGGCTGGGACGGAGGAGGAGGCCGGGCCCCGAACGCGGTCTCAGCCCGGGGGTCCGGCTGGAGGCGGAAGGACGGAGGCCTGGGTGGGGGCCCGTCAGGGGAGGAGTAGTCTCCTTCAGAGTAGAAACCAGTGCTGAGAGACAGAGACACACGTGAACACATCAGACGCTCGTTCACACGTTCAGGCTGTTCAAGGTTTATATGACGCGTTTGAAGATTCTCCAGGAAATGACATCACAGGAAGTAAAAATACAGGGTCAGATTGTTTAACATCAGGACGACGATGACGCTTTTCTATGTTTTCAACATCTGTCCAGAACGAGAGTCAAAGCTCCAGATGTGATCGACACACGATATTTCTTTTATCGTGAATCATCTCACATGAAGGAGTTTGACTTCTTTGAGACTTCAGCTTCTGTCAGTCGTTCTTTACTTTTGCTCCTTGTCCAGATACTTTATTTACTTTAAAGGAACTTTTATTTCATTTTCACTGTTATTTGCTGATTCTCATTGTCCACTCACCTGTACTCAGGTCTGCCATAGGACGAAGGAGTCCTGAAGTCTGACCTGCTGCCCCCTGCTGGAGAGTAATCGTCATAGTCAGGACGACTGAAGTCTCTGCCGGGAACCACAGCTGGAGGGAAGGAGTCAGGAGTGTACGGAGGGAAATGAGGAGGAGCTGAGGAGGAGGAGAATAAAAAGAATCAAATTAACTCAATCAAACATAATTGAAAGTAACTGTAATGAAAAAGGAGGAATAAAGGAGAAAAAAGTCAAATGAATTGATAATAAATGAATTAAGTGAATGTTCGTACCACCTGCTCCTCCTCGTCCGACTCCTCGTCTCACTCCTGTTTCTGATCCACTCGAATCCGGAAAACTTGGAAAAAGAGGAGGAGGGAAGGAACTGCAGAGAAAGGCGTAGTCGTCTGCAGAGAGAAGGAGAACGCTGACAGGTCGGTGACATCATTAAAGCTGCACTGATTTAAATCACCTCTGCCCTCTGCTGGTCATACATCACTAACTGCAGCTTTAATCACCTCTGTACAGTTCGTGTTGTGTTGTGTGTGTGTGTGTGTGTGTGTGTGTGTGTCACAACACACAGTGAGTGTATTTGTATTTTTTACCGGAGTCGGTGGAGGGACAGAGGGCGCACTCCATCCCCCAGCCCTTCCCGTACAGACAGCAGCAGTCGGTGAAGGTGACCTGAGCGCCCAGCAGGGGGCTCTGACACA